TAGTATATAAATTCAGTACTTTTTTTTTTTTTTTTTTACAAGTGGAGGAAAACAGGAAGGTACAGTATAGTTACTTTAACTACATGTTGCATTGGATTATACACATTATTTGTAGTTTTTTAAAAAAAAATCTGTCAAAGGTGTCAATTCCTCTTTGTTCAAAATAATGAATTGATATTGTAGGAGCTAAAAAAAATTGCATAAAACAAAGGAAGGAGAAGGATGCTGCTGTCCTACTTAAAAGATAAAGGATTACCTCATAAATTTCATATTCCATTTGGGTATTTTCACAATTTTCCATACATTTGCATCCAATGCTTTGGCTAGTTAACATCTCCCTAAAATTATGTAAAGTGCATACCAGAAGTGGGTTAAACCTAATCTGGAGGGAGAAACCCAAGTCAACTGCCAGCTGTAGAAACCAATATGAATAGAAGAAAGACAGAATGATCGCTGTGAAAAAAAATGAAATCTATGAAACTGTGGCAGATCAGTAATTTATATGCATTTCCACATGGAAAGAACTTTAAAAACTATTTAGAAAGGAAAGTTTTGTCCCACAAATAGCACTCTGTTTATCAGCACATTACCTGAAGTTCTGCTTTAGTCAAAATGGCTTATCCTCATTTCCCCTGTTATTCCTTTGCCTTGACAGTAAATATCAGACTGTCCTTTTATCCTAGCCACATTTACAAAGGCTGAAAGCATGAATGCAGGCTTCCACTACATTCTTAAGTATGAGTGATGCAGTGTCACTCTTCCCTGAGCTTTCTTATTGCAGTTCAACAAAGCCGTTTTGTAAATTTTAGACAAACTCAAAAACTGCTGGTGGACAAGAATTTTCTCCACTGAGGAAAAGCTCCAATGTTCTGCTCCCCTTTCGATGAGATGAGAAAGTCAAGGCTCTGACAAACCATGTTCTATCATATAACACAGCCTTATTTTGTCTTAAGCTTTTTTTCTTTTTGTTTAATAAAGCATAAGAGCAGAACAGAGGTCTGGAGAGTCACCTATGTCAAGGGAACAGAATGCTGTCACAAAACAAATTGCCATCCATGGGTATATAAAAACCAAAGGAAATGGCGAGTTGTGTGATGTAATATATGCTGATCTAGTGCCAGTTTTCTGTTGAATCGCAGGACTTGTGTTAACAGAACTACTTTGGCTGCCTGATGTCAATGGAGAGGAGTAATATGAAATCAGAATGCAGCCCCCTTCTCCCCCACAATGTCTCCAATTAGGACCCTGCACCAGAACTACAATAGACTTTTCATGGGTGGCTCAGGTGTGGGGCCATAAACAGTGCAGATGCACAAGCATCGAGTCAGATAACATTAGTCTTCTGTTGCTTCAAACAGCCCTGACATGCTGAGGAAAATAAGAGTAAGCATGTTAACGCCCATAAAAAAACAAAAAGCACTTGAAAAATTCAATGATTTTAAGACATCCCAAGATATACCATATGGTTGTGCAAGAATATCTGACCACTGTGGTGAGGTCAGGAATCATGGCATTAAACTTTTCTGGCTGCACTTAGGGACTGAAGACTGACTCTCTAGGGCAGAGACTGCGTTTGTGTAGCATCTAGCATCACGTCTCGGATTAGTCCCGAGACACGGCAGATGTAGGTATTAATTCAGGAGTACAGAACTAATTCAGTTAAGAAAATCTAATTATGATCTAACAGGATTGGCAAAGGACCTCTCCCACTATCTCAGGGATGGACAAAATGCAGTCTGCGGGCTAGATCCAACCCATCAAGGGATTCTATCCAGTCTACAGTGGGTCCTGACACAGGTGTGGGGGGGCAGCCTGGCCTATGGCATATGCAGCCAGTCCTGCCACCCCCAGGCCACGCAGCAGGGTAGAGGCAACACAGTGGCCAGACTCAGTTTCCTGGCAGGTCCCACAGTGGAGGGCTCACTTTGCCCAGCTGCCACTACCAGCACCTCTGCTGCCCCAGCCCATCTGCCCTGCATCCACCACTAGGGGCACTGGAGGATGGGCAGGCAGAGTCTCCTTGGAGACTGGCCAA